ATATATATATACATACACACACAACACATAAATACACACACGCACACTCACTCATGCACACACCAACAAACACACGTGCACACTCGATCAAACAGACAAACAGACGCTATAAAAAAGTATGCATTTTTTTGCATACGAAGACATACGCCAACAAAAGTGGTATTAATATAATATTTCCACTATGACTTTTTACTTCCAACAACGACCCTGTGCGTGGCTGAAAGATAAGGGAGCAATATCTGTGATAGGATTTTCAACTGTTCCACGGGATTGAGAGAATGAAAATCTTTTTTTAAAAACCAAGCATGTCTTACATAATATGTGTCTACTTTACGTACAAGATCGTGACTCAACGCGCAACACTGGGGTCGTTGTAATGCGCATCCACAATCACGACACGATGTCATAAAACAGTGTTATTTAACAATAATGCTGCCGTACTCTGACAAAACGCCCTTTTCTTATTCACAGCAGTTTCGAGAAATCAACGATTTTCGGTTTTCTTCTATAATATTTAAACTATTTTGCACAGTATATCAACGGTTGAACTTGAAACCTGAAGAGAATGTCATTCCCTGTGCTCAACAATATAATACCCCCCCCCCCCCCCTCCTCCCGAAATTCATTGACTTGTAGACGTTTTGTCAGAGAACGGCACAATGAACTCTTTAATAAGTTTTAATAACGTTGAGGACACTTTGTCTGACGGCAGAGGCCAAAGGCAACGTATCAGAGTATTTCGAACCATCATACACAAATAATAAACACGAATTTATATAATTCATTATTGCACTGCACGCATGTTCTTTGCTTGCCTTTATAAGTTCCAAATAAAGAAAACAGAGTCAAAATACCCACATAAATAAAGAAGTTTTACTTCAAAATAGTATGTCTTCAAAAGTTGTCAAAAGTCCAGAACATCCACAAAAGAGTTTCACAGATTCCGCTTGAAACTGCCAAACTTGTTAATGTGAGAATCTCTTGAGTTTTCGGAGTTGCACTATAGATTTTGTGACTTAGGCTATATCTTTTCGAAAAAAGCCTGCACTTTTGTACCCTGGGCAGTGTCAGCTGCTGAAGCCGCTTCAATAAGCTTCTTTTTTTTTTTCGCCCACATTGTTTGCGAAGACAAAATTTTCACTTTCGAAAGTGCTATAATGAGGTTCTAAAAAACCTCAAATACAGGGTGCTTCTTTCGCACTTGGGAGCAAAACACTTTCATGTACAAAGAATCCGGTCAGTTCAACGGGTGTGTGTGTGTGTGTGTGTGTGTTTGTGTGTGTGTGAGTGTGGGTAGGTGTGTGGTGTGTGCGTGTGGGTAGGTGTGTGTGTGTGTGTGTGTGTGTGTGTGTGTGTGTGTATGTGTGTGGGTGTGGGTGGGAGTGTGGGTGTGTATGTGTGTGTATGTGTGGGTGTGTGAGTGTGTGCATGCGTGCGTGCGCGTGGGCGCGCGACGCGTGTGTGTGTGTGTGTCTGTGTGTGTGTGTGTGTCTGTGTGTGTGTGTGTATGTGTGTGTGTGTGTGTGTGTGTATGTGTGTGTGTGTGTGTGTGTATGTCAGTGTGTGTACACAGACCTCAGTCCGAATGTTAACGGTTGTTACTGTAGAATACACATGGTATGAGATCAAGGTGAATGCCACGTGGAATGTAGAATGCTATACGGAAAAGTGGGAAGACATAGAATAATATCAAGAGGCTTACCAATTATAAGAAAAGGCGGAAAGTGTTTGTCTGATGCAAGGTGAGAGGGGCAGTAATGATGATGCGATAACAGTTGAAGATACATGTGCGTGTTTTGTCATAAAACTTGCAATGATAATGTTTTTGTCGCCTGTTCTTGGGCATGCAGTGTTTCCTTCATTCTTAAAAAAAAAAACCCACCTAAAATGTCAATTGTTATGTGTGTTTTTGTCCCGGTTTGGTACCCAGATGGTCTCATAACGTGTCTTCACTAGACGATAAAATGCCCAAACATCGCTCTACCCTTCAGACTTTTCTCCGTGGTTTTGGTCTCAATAACGACCGTTGTAGTGGTCATTATTTTATTAGTCTTGTTGTTGTTGTTATTGTTGTTGTTGTTGTTGTTGTTGTTGTTGTTTTTGTTTTATTAAAAGTTTTACGACACACAGATAAGTCATTTTTGTGCCAAAGATTAAAGGTTTTCCAGTGAATGGCTTTCAAAAATATGGAGGAGAGGTAAGGACGATAGAGGTTTGATAGGACGTTTTATTAGACACAGCAATAGAGCTTTGTCCTAAAACAGTCATTGGCTTTGAGAAATGGTCCTCGGGGCCTCAGACTCCGGATAGTGGGAGTTTGCAGGGCTATCTGATGTGGTTTGCTTCTACTTTCTTATCAAACACAACAAATTGGCCTTATCTCTCCTCTTTCTTTTTTTTTTTTTTTTTTTTTTTTTGTAAGTAGGCCTATGTTGCTCTCTTGTAACACCTCTAACCTTCGGCACTTATATGACTTAATTTGTGTAGCAAGTGTGGTGGAACGCATACTAAAACTATAGTAAAGACTCCAGAAATCAACAACAAATTGTTGTTTTCCAGATATGGATAGGCTAACAGCATGGTATAATGTTTCATGGTCGTCCGAGCCAGGTATCCCCTCAATAACGTGCAAAACATGTTTCGAAAGTCACGGCGTTCAACCAATTGACTCAAATGGTCACACCAGGAAGTGGTATCACAAAACTGGAAATTGAGTGTAATGAAATTCATGTCATACTCAGCTGTTGGGCAGAAATTCCCCAACGCGAGACCCAAAAAGGCTGCACATAACGCTCACTTTTTCTTCTTTTCCTTTCTCTACGAGTCTGAAAAAAAATGTTCCGGAACAGTTATCAAAACATTTAATCGTGCGCGTGCGAGTGATAGTAAAGTTGGTCTATGTTATTATTTACATGTACTTAGTTGTTTTGTTAATTTTTCTTTCTTTTGTTTAGTTTTGTTTATCTGTCTACTTAGTACTTGGGTTTTCCTTTCGCTTTTTTTACCGTATACATTGCGATAGACTTACTAAGGGAAATAATTTTAAATTAGGAGAATTTAGAAACATTATATTCAGTCATCTCCCTTGCAAGTTCTAATCATTATCATTGACGAGAAATGACTCCAACTTGGTAGCAAAAGGTGCATTCTATGCTAATAGACCATATTTATTGTCTCTATTGCCATCCATCTTAATGCATGATATAGCATACCAGACGAATAATATGAATTTCTAGTATGATTAATTGTTCCCTTAAGTAATTATTTTTAAGAAATAGGATTTTGAAGAGACTAGAAAAGGGAGTCAATGATTTAATGAAGCAACACAAAGGTGACTGATATCTTGACAAAGAGCAGGAAGAAAAAAATTATAACAATTAAGCGAACACTGGAAATTCGCGTATATGTGTTCCAGGAACTAGACGTCTGTGCCTGAAACAGGAAGAGCGATGCAAAGGGTCCATAATCCATGTCAGAGGACATACATTTATACCTGGGTACCTGGAGGCGTCATCTCTAGCTCAGAGGTTGACGTGTTATGACCCGTCAGTGCTCACAGTCGTCAGCAGTTATGACTTGTAAGTCGTCACATGTCGCCGACTTTGGAGCCTGGGTCGGGGAAACTCTCATCCACATGAAACTCCCAAGGGATTTACGTGACAATGTCAGAACGTGGATGAGAGACCACGAAGCATAAGATACATCTTTGAAGCAGTTATTAAACACAATTCACTCTAGTGGACCAATGTCTCCATTTGCACTTTGAAAACGTGCAAGAACATTACTGACCTATTACGTGTACTTAGGGATTTTTAAGGGGAAAAAAAGGGGGGGGGGGTTATTGTACAAGACAAGTTTGTTTTTGGTTGTAGTTTTTTATTGTGTGTGTTGTTGTTTTTTGTTGTTTTTGGTTGTTGTTTTTTGTTTTGTTTTTTGGGGGGGGAGTATTTTCTAGGGAAAAATACTCCGAAATTCATACACAACACACTATGTAAAGTGTCTAGCAGTCTTTTTGCATAATTCAGCTTCCTCCTCAATTGAGTCAACAGTTTACCAGCCTCTAACAGCATTGTACGAGATCAATAAAGGTTTGGAATGTATCGTGAAAGCAACTTCGGTATAACACGGACTGTTGTATCTCATATACATCTGCTCGTCTCAACCATCAGAGAACTCAGACGTTCCCCACAAAAACCGTCTGTCTTGGAGAAGTTGGGCTAAATCTATGTTGAACCTTGCAAAGAATTCATCTAACAAGGCTCTGGTCTCTGGTAACATTTTTCCTGCCCTTTTCTTAGACGGCGTCTCGTGTTTGATGCCCTGTTTGAGGACGTCCTCAAAAGTACTGCTGGCAGGGCGGCCTGGGGAGGAAGGGGGGGGGGGGGGGGGTAAGTCAAGAGATGATCTGAAATGTTATAATAAGGTTCAGATCGTTTTACATCAATTGGGATAAGGCATTGTTCTTAAACTATAATAGTCCCATCGGGGAACTTATTACCAAGCAGAAATTGATTAGATGTCAAATTGTGTAAGAATCCAACAGAACATTCACATTTCTCCCTGTTTCCGTGTTTGAAAACCAAAATAATGTTAAACAAAGGGAGGACACTAAACTATATAAAGAGAGAATAAAGCATCTCTGCAGAACTTAATAATCATTTTTCGTTTATATACATGTACTTAAAGGGCGATAATGAATCTTTAAAAGAACCGGCGGTGTTTCAAAGAACAATTATGAAGGCTAGGTTTAAAACACTAACAGGAAACCCTTTCAGTACTGTGTCGTTTTCATCTACATTTGTACAGACGAGATAAAAATACTAAATCAAAAGGGATTAATCCATAACGTACCTTGAGCAACTATTCAAGAAGCAGTTTGTTCTTCTAAAATGACCTTTAAACAGCAGTAGAAAATGGGCAGAGAAAAGTTTAAGAGATCGCCGTGCTTTTACATGCATGTAACAGTGAAGGGGTTAATGAAGTGACTCATGAAAGTTTTCTCACCAACACCCAGGAACTCGTAAGCGTCGAGCAAAGTTCCCGCGACGTCTGCGTGATAATCTTCGGTACGTATGATGAAGAAATGCTTCTTGTTGAACACAGACAGCCACTCACGCAGGAAGACGGAGTAACAGCTGATGTGGATTCGCATCTGGGGAAACAAGGGGTAGGAATGGGGGGGGGGGGGTATACGATAAAGTTCCCGAGAATGTTAGTTTTCTTCATATTTGAAGTAAAATCAACAATATGCCAAAACTTCTTGCCCATTGAATGACTGTGCATTGTAAAATTATTTTATTTATTTGCAGCTTTTAGCATTCTTAATTCTTCTCTCTCTCTCTCTCTCTCTCTCTCTCTCTCTCTCTCTCTTTCTTTCTCTCTCTCTTTCTTTGTGGGGTATGTATTATGTAACCATTCTCAAACAGAATGTTGTTTACTTTTTTGTTTTGTTTTGTTTTGTTTGTTTTGTTTTGTTTTGTGTTTTATTGTTGGGGGGAGTCGGGGTTTGTTGTTTTTTTTTGGGGAGGAGGGATTTGGGAAGGGGGTTTTGGTAGGAGGCTGTTTTGTTTGTGTTGGGGGGTGTTGTTTTGTTTGGGTATTTTTAGTCTCGACAAGCAGCACTTCTTTCCTACACGAGGAGAAAGAAAGATGGATTTGATCTTTGAATTTGTCACTAAACTATGTGGAAAACGACTACAGTTGGTCTGAACTTTTGTCGGAACTGGGAGTTTGTACAATTGTTTTAATGCTTAGAAACATCAAGTAATGGCATTTCACTATGCTTCATATCTGTCTTTACCTTTAAAGATAATACTGCTACCGGTTTTTTTTCATTGCTACTACATTTTTCTGGCTTTGCAGACCACGTCTGACATTCTGCACTTCAATATTATCATTGATGATACACGTACAGACTTGTTTACAACATTCAAAATATATTGGTTTGTTTCATTTCTTATCTACCTTGCAAATGGCATTTTGATGAAATATATCTTGCAGAAAGAAATAACAGATTTGTCTTCCAGGTATGACTATGAGTCCGTGTCCGTGAATTGATTACCAGTATTTCTTTTGCACACAAGAAACATCTTTGAAATACTCACTGGAAGTTTGTGATACATGTCATCACTGAAGAAACATTGTCTCGTGGAGTTGACTGCTAGACAAGCCTTCATCATACCAATAGCTCGAGGAACGTCTCTGGCAAACTGTTGGGGCGAGTGACCATAGCCCAAGAACATGTAGTCTGAGTAGAGTCTGGGTGACAAAACAAAGTATTACATTGTAATTGGTTTTAATAGGAGTTCTACGGCACTTGCAACGCAAATAGGTCATATAAGTGTCGAAGATTAGAGGTGACGAATGTATTACAAAACAGGGGAGAGCTTGTGAGTACATGAAAAAGGTTCCTCTCCTTATCTTGAAGAGGAAGAAGAACAATGATATAGAGGCGAATGATGAAGAGAACGAAGCAGAAGAGGAGGCATAAGAGGATGAAAAGAAGAAAGAGGATAAGGAACAGGATAAGGAAGAGGGGAGAGCAACATGAAGGGGAAAAGAGTGTGTGGAGTAGGTAGGAAAGATAACAGGCGCAGTTCACCCATGGAAAACGGCCGTGGAATGTCGCCCAAAATATCTGAATGTTATTTTGCGTAAGGCACCCATAGACAGAAAATACTAGAAGGCGGCAACAAGCACCATCTACAGATTTTATCAATACAAGGTCCTCTCTGGCGTCTTAAAGGCCATTACTGTGTCTGTAACGCGGTAAAACATCTGCCATGCCTTACCAAGGTCCTCTTATTTTACCTAAGCATAATAGGATGTTCAGCATTGGTAATCTGATCTAAAAATTGAGCTTTGTATTAAGCTAAGTGCTGACGATAGTACATTAATATTAATAAGACGGCTAATCATAAATATGCACCCACCGAAACATCACCCATACTATGCAGTCGAAAAATATACGCGATCTCAAGCTGTTCAGGAAAGCCTGTGCAATTAGATGCCCATGTTATGTGTGCTCTGGGGCAATCCAGCGTAGTGGTTAAGTGAATTGCGATTTGTTCATTGTTTTACCATTACGCTACATCAGAATTACAAAGTTCTATCTGACATTTTTTGCCGTTTTGAGTACTAAGACCACGAGGTCAGAAACCGAGTGTTCTATCGGCTCTATCAAAATCGTCCTTATCAAGATATTTAAAGAATTGATTTCGAAAAAGCTTGACATCATGTGAAACTCAATCTTTGGCGCCAAATTTCTCAAATCTAGGTACTGAGTAGATAAACCTTTGTAATTCTGAAGTAGCGATTATTTTAGGTCCGGCCCCATCTCTATGATCCTGAACTTGAGCAAGGTAAACGTGACATAAGTCGATCACATTTATTAGAGCCTTTGACTTTGAAGGGTTTGTAGTGGTGAAGGTGTTATTACTTCAGTGCTCAGTTCCAATGCAGGATGAACAAATAGATTTTGTTCTCGAAATAGAAGTGACAAAAAGAGAGTGAAAATTAAAGAACTGGGTCCTCACCAACACAAAGATGTCGGAATCTTTCAGCATCTCATTTACTACGCCCTTCACAAAATTTTAACCTGCGATAGTTTAATTGTGCACGCCCACGTTTCAACCCAACGAGCCGCCCCTTGTAGATCGATATTGTATTCAATGTTTAAGGCTACTGGCCCACGAGACTAAAGACATACACAGTTTACAGAAGAGATTTCTGTGAAACATCATAAATTATAAGGACACATAATATCAAGAACTTTTTGTTTAACGGTTTGGTAATTTTTATTCAGTTTCCATAGTAAAACAATAGAGGCTGTACATTTTACCCTGTTTTCGTGGGTTAGTTATAAACATTGTACGAGTAGATGTTTATCCCTGGCTTGAGTTAGAATGGTTGAATTATATGTGGAGTAAGAGGAGGGGGTAAATGAACAGGGGAAAGATGAAGAGGAATACGAATTAAGGTAAGAGAGAAAGGCTAGAAAAAGAAGAAGGAGGGGGTGGCTACAACTGAAAGTCCCCCCCACCCCCATCCCAACCTCTTATTTTTTTTTAAAACAGGGCACTGCGCATTGGCAACCATTAATGACGTGTTTGTAGTATATCTGTACCTTTCAGTATTCATCACCGTATTTATGCATATTATTATATTACGCTACAGTATTGTAAATCAAATTTCCCCACGGAAATCAATAGTAGTGGAATTTATTTTTTCATAATTGGTCGCTTTTAAGGACAAGTAAGCTAACCCAGATTTCGGGGGTTTTGAGAAATCTAGACCTACACCAAAAGTGGGCATTGCACTACCTATAGGAAATGTTTGGTTCCATTGGCGTGTACATTTATTTAGTTATAGAGAAACTCTCCTTGTATTTTAAAGAAACTGAATAAGGGTTCAAAAACTTTACTTTCGATTTTCTCAAAACAGCATTTTTCGGTATAGCCCCCTTGTGCTTAAAAGCGACCAATTATATCAAGGGTTGTGCTGGATTACCTTTCTGCTGGATCTCTGAGCAGGATGAAAAACTTTGGATTGCGGTAGATATGCCGCATGGCGTGTGGAGTCAGAAACTTGGGCTCATCAAGCCCAGCATTCTGGGGATCCAAGTACCAGCCACGGAAATCCCAGAAGTCCATAGGGGTGCCATCACCTTCAGGGGAGATAATGGTAATAGTTAGAACTTGCTGGTGGTGTCTTTGGGTAGTCTTAGATCAGCACATAATTTCTTTGCCGTTCCTGCGTTTGTTGGTGGATCCGACCTCTGCCCCCTACCCTCTCACACCCAACCCCACCTGCTCTCTCTCTCTCTCTCTCTCTCTCTCTCTCTCTCTCTCTCTCTCTCTCTCTCTCTCTCTCTCTCTCTCTCTGTCTCTCTCTCTCTCTCTCTCTCTCTCTCTCTCTCTCTCTCTCTCTCTCTCTCTCTCTCTCTCTCTCTCTCCCTTATCTCTCTCTCTCTTTATCTCTCTCATATGCACACACAGACAAATAAACACATACGACCACAGACATACACACACATACACACACACACATACACGCACACACACATACACACTTACACACACACACATGCACGCACGCACGCACGCACGCACACACGCACACATATACATGGTATAAATCATTAACATGCACATGAGCGCCGCACAAAAAAAAATTACATTTGAAAAACGTTGTTCACAAATTCTAATAAAACGTTATTAACATCAGTTATATCCATAGCGTATAAAGCTCTGCGCCATTAAAGATAGTTCAAAATTAATTGCTTGAATCAATAAGCCAATAAACACCTTTGTTTCCCATACCTGTGATAAGCTGTCGCTTCTTCCACATGTATTCATCCGAAATTTTTTTGGTTGGGGTGGTGAAAAGGCCAAGGTATGCTCCGAATCTTCGTTTGAGCATATGGCCCATCATCCACAAACCTGTCAAAGAACAATATGTTGTATTATATATTTCGATTCTTGATACGTCTGACTTTCGTTATTCCTAAAATCTAGTATGGTTGTTGCGGTTTGTGGGGAAGCGGGAATGGAGGGGGTGACAGCATTAGGGGCATAGAAGAAAGTAATCAACATTCAGTTATAGTACTTTGTGTTCTTGGCGCACGGTTGCGTACATACAAAAGGAACTAATTAATAGAAAACAGCCAAATCTGCTCTAACGAATGGTCACCTGTTGTTGTTTTTTAATCACCAGTACAAACGGGCACTTCCAATTTCCCCCCTGTCGTTTTTGTTTTTGTTTTTTTAATCAAAATTAAAATAACACTGAGTAAGACGTCCATCTATCTGAAACAGCCACTGCTCTCCTCTGTCTTAGATCATTTCAACTGTACGTTAAAATTACTTCAGTATGTGAATTTTATAAATAAAAAGATTTGCAAAGTAACCCGTCTGTTTCAGATTTTAATTTTGCAGCTTTTGGTCACGTACCGACGGCGTCTGTGGTGTAGAGGTTAGACGATTCCGTGTCGCAGACAGGGGACCTGAGTTCGATTCCCGAGTGGGGACAGAATTTTTATCGAGTATCCCGGTCTTTGTGCAGGGATGGCGTATCCTTCTCAGCCCGGGATGGCCCTGACATGCAGGGTTGGAAGCCTGTCTCCTAAATGATCTAAATTGTGACGATGTGGACGTAAGAACACCTATTTTTTTAAGTCACTTACCGTATCGGAGCCAGCACCAGTAGTAAATCTCTTTCCCCAGACCTCCATTATTCTCCAAGACGTCTGGGTGTGACGTCAGACGAGAGTGGAAGTCCGTGGTGCCACATTTGTCAACCCCTAGCACGTGAAAGTAGGGCACACATTGGACTAACCTCATCTTCTGCTGAAAGAAGCACGGGTTCTTCAGATGTGGGATGTAGGAAGGTCGAGCCTGTGGATCGTTATGACGAAAACCAAATATAGAAGCTGGTCATCGTCAAACAGTAATATCATGAATACGAGCACGATGCAGGGAAATGGGTATAAAGTTAAGAGGAACAGCTTAGAAGAAAAGAGGGGCAGAAAAGGAGGTCGGAGATGAGACCACGTTGACTCAATGTAAAATTTAAACAATTAATTCTTTTATGCAGTAACTGAATCTTGAAAATCTGCGATTTGCGATTTTTTTTTTTAAAGGAGTTCCAGTGACTGTATAGAGATTCACATGGCGTATTTTAGTAGGCCACATGCTGAACTTCTTTTTCCACCTTTCCCTGTCATGGAATAGCCTCATGATGTTATTCCATGTCTTCAAACTGTTCTGTACATCAATGTCTATGTTGGACTCTGTCCCCTAACTTACCACACACATAATATCCTGGGTGTCATTCGGGCCAAGCTGGAACCCCGCTTTGTTCTGGGTGCAGGGAAACTTTGCGATGTTGTCGTGGGTGTGTTCAGATTCCCCAACAGCTTTCAGTGGTTTGAACAAAAGACGCAGATCGTTTCGGCTGAAACTGGAATCAGATTACTTGTGTCAGTGGGTGGTTGGTGGGTTCTCTGGTGTGGTTTGCTCTCCTAATTTACTATCAAACATTCATCATCCTTATCTCTCCTCTTTCTTTTCTTTGAATGTTACTCTCTCGTAGCATCCCTTATCGTCCACACTTATATGACCCAATTGTCTTACAAGTGCCTAAAAACTCCTGCTAAAATATAGTGTCAGACCTTGATACGTTTATGAAGTTCGTACAATTCAGTTGTTTAGTGTAGAACAAAGACTTTCGAACGTAGGTTTATCAAAAGTTGAAACGATTATCAGCAAGATGTATGAAGAAGCCAATGGTCTTGGAAGGGCTTACAATGATTTGATGGCTGGGAGGGTAGATAAAAGGAAGATTTGGCAAAGGCAGGCTGACAATAGTTATATTTTCCAGACCCCATGAAGTTATAATAATAATAATAATAATGATTACAATAATAAAGTTCACTTCTATAGCGCTCACTCCCTGGTAGCTCTAAGTCCTAAACAATTAAATAAGCTTCAAAACAACGCTTCGTGTAAATTGGCCCTTTCAACGAACAACAATTCTTTCAAATACATAATATACTCTTGGAATCTGACGAACAACACATATACAAAAAGACAACCACTCTGGCTACTGGTCACACTTGCTTTCGGAAGAAGAATAAAACTAGTTACTTACATTTAAATGAATGTGTTCTTATGCCGTATTTGACTGCGGTCAAAGGAGACGCCTCTCTTAACGGGAGGAGCGACCCTCGATTGTGGGTCAAGCTATGCAGTGGGAGGGAATTCTACTCTGAGGCAGTTAGTAGTTGTCGAAAAAGACGTGCCTCCTAAAAATAGTTTTACACCGTACATTCTTGAGTTGTTTTTTAGTGATAGATCGTAGATTTTCCAGATGGAATATACTCATACAGTTACTTAGACAAATCTTGCGGTGCCAGATCTTTTAAACACTTCTAGCATATTACTGCAACTTTGTAGAAATACGGGCATTAACAGGGAGCCAACGTTGCTGCAAAAAGCAATGGTGGTGTGTGTTCTCTTACAGGCCTTTTGAGAACAACTCTCGCAGCTTGGCTCTAAGGCCTTTTCAGTTTATACAATAGTTTTGTTGGTATGTTTATAAGGAGTGAGTTGCAATAACCAATACAAGATGATACGCAAGATGACATCAGTGTCTTAAGAGATGTCTCGCTTAAAAAGGGGCCATTTGTGCAATTCTTCGGATATCTAAATATGCAGCCTAGCATAGATTTGGGATTCGGTGGTGCATTGACAATTTTTTGTCATTTATAACGCCTAAATTTTTGGGTTTGCTTTATAAAAGTACCTTTCTCATTTCCAACAAGATGATCTGTTCTATCAAATTGTCTCACCGAAGACTTTGGGTTACATAAAATTATGTCGGTTTTATCATCGTTTATTTTGTCGTTTAACCTCAGTCAGTTGGATACCACCAACGCCTTGACTTCGTCTACACACTTATTTGTCATGCTTTGAGCGTGTTACCTGGCTCTGAAGACACGTACAGCTGAGTGTTGTCTGCGTACATGTGATGGGAGAAATCGTGACTTCTTATGCATGAACTATGTCGTGCTGTGTACTAAGCGTATAACAGTGGTTCCAACACAGACCCCTGTGTTACCCCGTACTTTAAGCTGCACACAGCTGACTTCTTTCTGTTCTCAACAACACACTGTGCACGCCCAGTTAAGTATGACGTGAACCGCTCACGAACATTACCAGATGGTCTAATTGTCTTTTACAACCTTTCTAATAAGATGGAGTGATCAATAGTATCAAATTCTGCACTTAAGTCTAACATTGTGAGCATTGAAACGCAATCTAACATCTGCTGTACATAGGCGATCATTGTAAACGAGTATCAATACAGTAAATCTTACATTATATATTATATCATAATACATATATATATAGAGACAGACAGACAGACAGACACACAGACAGACAGACAGACACACAGACACACAGACACACAGACACACAGACACACAGACACACAGACAGACAGACAGACAGACAGACAGACAGACAGACAGACAGACAGACAGACAGACAGACAGACAGACAGGCAAGCAGATAGATAGATAGAAAGATAGATAGATAGATAGATAGATAGATAGATAGATAGATAGATAGATAGATAGATAGATAGATAGATAGATAGATAGAGTGTATGTATATAATATGTTTATGCACAAGTATAATGTATATGTTTAAATCTTTATGTACGTACACGTAAGCGTGATACACATTGTTTTTTAAAAAAACTGTTATTAAGAAATCAAGAGGAGACTTTAACTACCCTATGAGATATACCTACATCGCACTTACTTTTTATAGAACGGGTGTGACAGGGCCAAAAGTGCGTTGTTTTGGGAATCCATTTTGGGGACGATTTTGAACACGTTCTGGACAGAATCTTGAAGAACACCTGTCGTGGAACATTATTGAAAGACATTTTTGGAAAAGAAATTGAGTACCGGCCAGGTACCTGAAACATTTTATGGGACAACATGCAGTTTAATTAAAGACTTTTTTTCTTCAGGTCGAGGAAGTGGGAGGTGGTGCGATAACATTTTTTCTTGTTTTTCTTAACGTTTTCAGTACATATTATGTGTAAATGCTTGTGAATGCGTGTGTGAGTGAGTGTGTGTGCGTGTGTGTGTGTGTGTGTGTGTGTGTGTGTGTGTGTGTGTGTGTGTGTGTGTGTGTGTGTGTGTGTGTGTGTGTGTGTGTGTGTGCGGGTGCGAGTTTGTTGGGCGCGTATGCGTTTGTGTATGTGGGGAGGAGGGGCGGGTACAGCAAGAGAGAAGAGGGGAGTGTGCATTTTTATAAACGTTGTCTCTTCGATCATCATCATCATCATCATCATCATCATCATCATCATCATCATCATCATCATCATCATCATCATCATTAGTATCATCATCATCATTATTCTGGGCATAATCGTAAATATCATTTTTTTTCTTTTCGCACCACCTTCAGCATCTTTGTCCACTTCAAAGGCAACAACTACAATTAATGCAGCGTCAAAAACACACAAAAATGACATAAGAAAAAAGCAGCAATAACAATAACAATACAATAACTACAACAAATACGAGACCAACAATTACATCAACGACAAATACAATAATTGTCCTAATATCGCCAAGAAAGACAGCAATAAACGCTAAGAGGACGACGACGACCCGATAACAACGACTGAGAATCAAAGCAACTCCAAGTAACTACTTACATAAGGGAAAAGCACAAGCAACAATAACAAAAACAACAATAACTACAGCAAAAAAAACGACAAATACATTAATAATTATCCTACAAACGACAGCAATAAAAACAAAAAGGACGACGATGACTGAGAGAGAATCAAATCAACATCAGATGACATTCAAACAAAAGATAAAAACACAAGGCGCCGGTAACAACGACTATCGACTCACCCAGACTGAGTGGCTTGCCCGGCGGGAGGCGACTAGCAACTGTCAAAGTATAAACCATGATGAAGATCGTGATGTACAGAGTCAGGCCCACTGCCAGAAACAGCCACTTGTGCTTCCAACACATGCGCGCGTGAGAGCCGAGGACCTGCATGAAGTTCTGGGAATAGTAGATGTGTAGAAACGAATGAGTATAACAAAAGATAGCAGTAACAAAGCGGTGATTGTTCATTGCGTCTCTAAGCTCAGTTATTGACAAGCTCCCTCAAAGAATACGATACCATTCTTAAAACATAGTCAAGCGTCGCGTGCTCATATTATGACCTAATGCAGTTGCGAGCGCAGTAAAACTCTCACCAAAGCAAAACACTCGCCAAGCGCATAACATCAAATTGCAAGCAGCAGAGTCCAATTGCGCTTGGGAATCTTTGAGCGCGATGGAAAATGGCTAATTTAAAGAGGAAACGGGATTCACTCCCAACACGTAAAACCGTATTAGCTACTGCTCAGGCCTCGGGTAATAACAAAAGACCACAAGTGTGTATTGGGCTAGTAAGCCATGTTTCCGGTTTTACCGGATAGCCTAACTGTTTTTGGTGCCTCGCTATTCCTTCTCCCTAATCTTCAAACGTTTTCAAATATTTATAAAAACGTTTTCAGTCTTACTGGGAAGCTTGTTTTGTTTACTAACTTATCGTAGAGCGTTGTATAGGGACAACACCTGACTCCGTTTACATGGCCTCCATGAAAATGGGGATAAAGAAGAAGAGGAAGAAGAGGAAAAAAAGAGGAGGAACAGAGGAGGAGAAAGAGAAAAAGGAGGGGGAAAAGAGGACGAGGGGGAGGGGGAGGACGAAGAG